CCTGGCCAGAGCCCCCACCCTGGCTGTAGCCCCCACCCTGGCCGGAGCCCCCACCCTGGCCTCCCGGCCACAGCCTGGGCGGAGCCTCCGAGACCACCTGTCCCCTCCCAGCCCATCCACGTGCAGGTGGGGACACTGAGAGACTTGCCCCAGGGAGAGCTGGTGGCACTAGTCCCCCCTGCCTGTCGTCCGAAGAGCCTGAGTGCGTGACACCCCTGTCCCCGCAGAGCAGCCTGGGGAGCACGGCCAGCCGGGCAGGCCCCGCGGGGAGCTAGGGTGGTGCTGGGAAACTGTCGCCTGCCCCTCTCTTAAGCCGCATTGTTGGGGGTGTGGCGGGAGGGGCGTGACGCAGTGTATTCAACGCCGCCTTGAGACAGAGCAGGGACTTCCACACGCCCCGCCAATGAAGGACACGCCACACTGCCTTTCGCCTAGACGTCGACAAGCCCCACCGTGAATCCGGATGCTGGGGGACCTTCCTCCCCCAGGGCTGTGCAACAGTTCCAGGGGGCTTAGAGGGTCCCTGAAGTTTGGGGACAGGCAGCCGCTGCAGCTGAGCAGACGCCTACCCTAGCATTTACACCAAAAGGAACAGGACAGCCGGGAGGCTGGGCCCCTTAAACAGGGGGCGTCCGGCCCCCGGCCCCATCCTGGGCTCCGGCTCCGGGGGGCAGCTCGCAGCAGCCTGAACCCAGCACGGACGTCCTGAAGGAGCCAGGCCGTCCACTCGAGGAGACGGCTCCTGGACCTTCATCGCCCGGGCCAGCAGCGTTCCAGAAGCTTCCATGGGAGAGGACTCACCCGTCCATCCACAGGGCAGGGCTTCACAGATGAGCTGGGGAAGTACCCCGACTTCCTGGTCTGCACCAGCCGGCCCTGGAGGAGGAGGGGGCGTCAGGAAACAGGGTGGGGGCTGGACGCGGGAGTGGGGCCAGCAGAGGGGCCTTCACCAACCCCGTTCCCGACATCGCCGCCCTGCTGTCGCCTCAGCCGGCCTGCTCACCGCTCTGGGCAGAGGGGTGATGGGGCGTCCCCCTTTATGGATGAGAACACCGAGGCCCGGCCAATCAGCACTGGGCAGTGCTATTCTCACCTGGAGGGGCAGGGCAGGCGGAGACTTTGCAAGGCACAGCCCCTCTGCACCCGCCGAGTCTCGAACTGTGTATGTGCGTGCACGCACGTGTGTGTGTGCGTGTGTATTCGTGTGCATGTGTGGTCTGGTGCAATGACTGAACACGCACCGATAACAACCGTGGCAGAACCACCAAGGCAGCGAGAGCCCTAACACGGACACAGAGCAACATTGGGCTCCAACGTTAGATGCAGG